ATAAACTCTTGGCCTTCCCCAAGAATAACACTCGAATACATACCTTCTCTTGTAGGACCAGACTAGCCTTCTCCTCGTATGAAGAGACAATTAAGGGCTTGAAATTCAGTATGTAAGGATGTAGACAAAATGGGGTATCTTGCACATGAGATTGCAAAGTTGATTGGTTTCTACTTTTGTTGATGACGTTTGATGATGATTCTAATCTATTCAGATGGAATAGTCGAGTAAATGAATTTAGTTTTGGTCATATGTTTGGGAATTGAACTCTAAAGATGAGATTTCTTGACTTTAACAACACCCAGACTATAATAGGTTTTCCTCGACAAGCTTAAGAAATCAAATTGACATGCCCACGAATGTAATTATAATATGTATACAATAAAGCTTGAGTTGTTCCTCTAAAGCCATTGGATAAATGGATTGGCTTTATGAATAGATTCAACTAGCCCAATAAAGGAAATTATAATATATATATACAATAAAGTTGAATTCAGCTAGCCAAACAATGGCAAATTAAATCAAATTTACTAAATAAGGGGTTTTAGTAAAATGGACTAAGGGATTCTATGAACGTTTATAGTCGACCTCACACAAGCACTAAGGAATTTTATAGTTAGATTGATATTTTTGACAGTGTCTCTGCTAAAGGAGTTTTCAAAACTTGAACAAAAGAGAGATTTCAGAGAACTGAAATGGAAGTGTTCCAAAAAGTCTAGCAATTAAGGGTACTAGTTGCTTTATTTTGTCTGATTCCACTTAATACTCCAAGACGAGAAATAGGGGCATGTCCCGCGGTTCACATGGGCATATAAATAAATAAGGATATCTCGATGGCCGAAACCTTAGAAAATAGGAAGCCAACCTGAAGGCAACCCATCAGTTTTGATACTTGTCAAGGAGTTATAATTTTGAAAATATTAAAAGAGTTGTTGATTTTTTTTAATATTTTGTGAACTCATGTTCATGATTTGCTTCAATTGTGAGCCTGAATTAAGGAGTAATACTTTATAAAATTATTTCGTTCTTTGATTTCTAAAACAAAAGAAAGGAGAAAAACATTTTCAAATAGGGCAATCTCAAATGCGAAAGGTCCTTGAAGCATGTAAGGCTCATTCTTCCTCTATTAGAGAAAAAGAATAAGTGATGTTCTAATAATGAAGCATTCCACAATCTTGAAAGCAAGTAGTCCAAGAAATCAGAAGGGATGGAGGATAAAACCTATAACACTTCCCTGGGACGTTGTTAGTAACCCTTTGAGAAACAGATGATCGCCTTATTTGAAAAAAAGGAACACATCCCAACACATAGCAAAAATGCAAGAATGAGACCATTCAAGGATGAATTTTTCCACCCAAGTAGGGATGAGCTTTGAGAATAACCAATTTGGGGTAGGACCAAAAACTCAGATCACGTTGAGATAACAAAACTCAGACCAAGAAGACATTGAGAATGAGTCTCACAACTTGGAGTGTCAAGGGGAAGACCATGAAATTTAGCAGAGCTTACCTTGTAGAGCAAACCAGTCGAGTATAAATTAACTGTAGAGTCCTGAAAAAAGAACATTGATAGTACATTTAATCCAAGGACAGAAAGGGGTATCAAGATCATATTACTGTTCGCAGCAAGAAATGAAGCATTTTTTCTGAGACTTTAATAATGATGAAAGGAAAAAAAAGACGCAATGGCATAATATGATCAAACGGCTCTTCAAATCTGCAAGCTTAAAATTATAAGTTGCTACACTAATATCTGAGTAAACCCTAGAGAAAAGTGATCAAGAGAAAGAAGACCTGGTTTACTACTTTGGAGTCAAAAGAAATTTGAATCAACATTTATGCATGTATGAGAACATCATTGGCATAAAAGAAAATGTATTACATTGCATTCTCATTTCACACATAAATGTATGATTTTTTTTACAGATCTTTCAATGAAAATAGAGGATTCATGATATCAAAATCTGAACAAGTGGAAGCTAGAATTCAAACCTCAAATATAGGGAGTCATGTTTAAAATGGTAGAACATGAAGAACAGGGTTGGCCCAATCCACAGAAGAAGTGTTACTTTGAAGTAAGGCATGTTACCCGACCATCAGGATGCTTTCATATGATGTTTGTGAAAAATGAGAAAAACAATCTTCAAAGTTTCTCAATAAATCTTTTCAGAAAATGAAATTTTTGAAAAGTAAAAATATGATTTCCAAAGTGTCTTACCCAGTAAACTATTTCAGAATTAGTAAGTCCTTCGGGTCATCAGTAAGTCTTTCGAGCATGATGATTAAATCCTTCGGGTCATCTGTCAGTCTTTCGAGCAAGATGATAAGTCCTTCAGGCCATCTATAAGACCTTTGGGCATGATGTTTTCATATGATTTTTGAAAAATGAGAAAGCGATTTCCAAAGTTTATTACCCAGTAAACTATTTCAAAAATTAGTAAGTCCTTCGGGCCATCAGTAAATCTTTCAAGCATAATGATTAAATCCTTTGGTTCATATGTCAGCCTTTCGAGCAAGATGATAAGTCTTTCAGGCCATCTATAAGACCTTCGGGTATGATGTTTTCACAAGATTTTTGAAAAATGAGAAAGCGATTTCCAAAGTTTCTCATTTAAATCTTTTTAGAAATGAAATTTTTTGAAAGTAAGAAAGGGATTTCCAAATTTTCTTACCCAGTAAACTATTTTCAAAATTAGTAAGTCCTTCGGGCCATCAGTAAGTCTTTCGAGCATGATGATTAAATCCTACGGGTCATCTGTCAGTAATTGAGCAAGATGATAAGTCATTCGGGCCATCTATAAGACCTTCGGACATGATGTTTCCACATGATTTTCGAAAAATAAGAAAGTGATTTCCAAAGTTTCTCATTTAAATCTTTTCAGAAAATGAAATTTTTGAAAAGTAAGAAAGTGGTTTCCAAAGTTTCTTACCCAGTAAACTATTTCCAAAATTGGTAAGTCCTTCGAGCCATCATTAAGTCTTTCGAGCATGATGATTAAATCCTTCAGGTCATCTGGCAATCTTTCGAGCAAAATGATAAGTCCTTCGGGCCATCTATAAGACATTCGGCAGGATGTTTTCACATGACTTTTGAAAAATGAGAAAGTGATTTCCAAAGTTTCTCGTTTAAATATTTTCAAAAAATGAAATTTTTGAAAAGTAAGAAAGCTATTTCCAAAGTTTCTTACCAAGTAAACTACTTCCAAAATTGGGTAGTCCTTCGGGCCATCAATAAGTCTTTCGAGCATGATGATTAAATCCTTCGGGTCATCTGTCAGTCTTTCGAGCAACATGATAAGTCCTTTGGGGTCATCTATAAGACCTTTGGACAGGATGTTTCCACATGATTTTTGAAAAACGAGAAAACGATTTCCAAAGTTTTTCATTTAAATCTTTTCAGAAAATGAAATTTTGGAAAAGTAAGAAAGTGATTTCCAAAGTTTCTTACCCAGTAAACTATATCCAAAATTAGTAAGTCTTTCGGGCCATCAGTAAGTCTTTTGAGCATGATGATTAAATCCTTCGGGTCATCTATCAGTCGGGCCATCTATAAGACCTTCGTGCAGGATGATTCCACATGATTTTCGAAAAATAAGAAAACGGTTTCCAAAGTTTCTCATTTAAATCTTTTCAAAAAATAAAATTTTTGAAAAGTAATAAAGCAATTTCCAAAGTTTCTTACCCAGTAAACTATTTCCAAAATTGGTAAGTCCTTCGGGCCATCAGTAAGTCTTTCGAGCATGATGATTAAATCCTTCGAGTCATCTGTCAGTCTTTTGAGTGAGATGATAAGTCCTTCGGGCCATCTATAAGACCTTTGGGCAGGATCTTTTCACATGATTTTCAAAAAAAATAAGAAAGCGATTTTCAAAGTTTCTCATTTAGTATTTTTAAAAAATGAAAACTTTGAAGAATAAGAAAGCGATTTCCAAAGTTTTTTACCTAGTAAACTATTTCCAAAATTGGGAAGTCATTCGGTCTATCAGTAAGTCTTTTGAGCATGATGATTAAATCCTTCGGGTCATCTATCATTCTTTCGAGCAAGATGATAAGTCCTTCGCGTCATCTATAAGACCTTTGGGCATGATGTTTTCACATGATTTTCAAAAAAAATGAGAAAGCGATTTTCAAAGTTTCTCATTTAATGTTTTCAGAAAATGAAAGTTTTGAAAAGTAAGAAAGCGATTTCCAAATTTTCTTACCTAGTAAACTATTTCCAAAATCGGACCATCAGATGTAGGAAGAAAACAAAGATTCTCGGGTACAGAGAAGCGGATTAATCGATTAAAAGGATCTGCACGCATGAGATTGGGGCAAATCAAACAATTAAAGTTTCAGATTCTTAAAGCAAACCATTCCATTGAAAAATGATAGAATAGATTGAAAGATGAGTCAACTTTAGTGTTGTCATTCTTGACTTTTTTCGTGAAGATGAGTCAATCTTTAATGTTATTATTCTTGACTTTCTCGAGAAGGGGAGTCAATCTTTAGTGTTTTTATTCTTGACTTTTTCTTGAAGATGAGTCCATCTTTAATGTTATTATTCTTGACTTTCTCATGAAGAGGGGTCAATATATAGTGTTTTTATTCTTGACTTTCTCGTGAAGAGGAGTCAACCTTTAGTGGTGTTGTTCTTGACTTTCTCGTGGAGAGAAGTCAACCTTTTAGTGATGTCATTCTTGACTTTCTCGTGAAGAGACTCAATCTTTCAATGTATTCTTGACTTTTTCGTAAAGAGGAGTCAATCTTTCAGTATTGTCATTCTTGACTTTCTCGTGATGAGAAATTGATCTTTTGGTGTTGTCCTTTTTAACTTTCTAACGAAGAATAGTCAACCTTTCAATAGTATCTTTCCTCAATTTGGCTTTCTCGTATAGAGGAGTCAGTCTTTCTGTAATGTTGTCTTCAATCTTGACTCTCTTAGGATTTGTGTCCTAGAAAGTTCACTTTAGTATTTCTTGAGATTTTCTCTAGAAACCTCAACCTTATCTTCCATAAGACTCCAGAAATTAACTTTGTCTGTTTTGGGTCGCTTCAGTGAAAATTTTTAATTTAGTCTTTCTTAAAGACCTTTTTACTTTCTCAAAAGATTAATGATAAACGAATTGCATCATTGCATTCATTATTTAGATATGTTTCACTTTAAGATGAATATTTTATAGGTTTTTCAAGAAAACTACAGATTTATGACAAGTAGAAGTCATCAACCAATTCAGAGTCCCAAGAAGGAAGAGTTTCAAATGGCATTCGACTCAAGCTAGATTCTATACATGGTGGCTACGAGATAAATTTCCAACGGATAAGTTTATTTTCAAAGATTCTCCCAGATTCTAAACCTTTGGGTGTGATGGTTTCAAATTCTCAAACAATACGTTAATGATTAGCAATGTTTGATTTTTAGATTTGGTCTTCCTGAAGAGCAGCGAAGAAAACCACGTTCGATTAAATATTTCTTGAAGAGCATTGAAGTAGATCAAAAATTTCTCGATTCTGATCTCCCCTAAAGAGTAGTGGAGCAGATTCTTCTTCTTTCAGATTTGGTCTTCCTGAAGAGCAGTGAAGTAAATCGATTATGATTCAATCTTCTCTGAAGAGTAGTGAAGTGGATCAAAATTTTCTCGAGTCTGATCTCCTCTAAAAAGTAGTGGAGCGTATGTTTTATCTTTCAGATTTGGTCTTCTTGAAGAGCAATGAATCAAATTGATTCTAACTCAATCTTCCCTGAATAATAGTGAAGTGGATCAAAGTTTTCTCGAGTCTGATCTCCCCTAAAGAATAGTATAGCATATGCCTCTTCTTTCAGATCTAGTCTTCCTAAAGAGGAGTGAAGCAAATCAATTATGATTCAATCTTCCCTGAAATATAGTGAAGTGGATCAAAGTTTTCTCGAGTCTGATCTCCCCTAAAGAGTAGTGGAGCATACGCTTCTTCTTTCAGATTTGGTCTTCCTAAAGAGCAGTGAAGCAAATCGATTCCGATTCAATCTTCCCTAAAGAACGATGGAATGAATCAACGTTTGTTGATCTGATCTACCTTGCAGAAAAAAGAATGGGCAAAGAGGGGCAGGTGTCGACACCTGTTTTAGTCCAGAGACATGTTTTTATTTTATTATTATTATCATTATTATTTATTATTATTATTTTGTTTGCAGGATACAAACCCGAAACTGGTCCCCAAATTACAAACAGGCTCGATCATGTCAAACAAAAACAAAGTTGGCCCAATTACAACAAGCCCAATTTGGGGGCCCAATTATAAAGCACAACATCCTCCACGTTGCACCAGCAAATCCCCAATATCAGGTTCATTTAATACCCGATTATTGTGGCCACCTCTGCCCTCAGACCGGTTCCCTATGGCAACCTGACATCATACCATCAGCAGTACCAAATCCTCCTCAGAGCAACACCAACCGCCCCCAGCAGCAAAGCTAAACAACACACAAAAAAGATCAGTATGTTATTGTTTCCTCTGGCTGTAAATTGAAAAAGGAAAGGGGAGGGTTTTAAAAAATATTGGACTATTTATAATGATGGGGCTCGATTTTTCTGGAAAAAAAAGAGGGGGTCTCGGTTTATAAAAAAAATTGAGTTTGTAAAAAAAATAGAACTCATATATTCTCTTCTTCCTCGATCGAAGCAATAAAAAAGCAATATTAGATAACTTTTTAAAAAAAATTCTTTTATTTTATATGCAACAACCATTTCTTTACCATTTTGTTTTCGGAATAAAATACAGGAAAATGAATATAGTATTTTGTTTACCTTGTTGGGTCGTCGGTGTTCGGTGTTTGGTTAGGCACCGGTGATAATCGATTGTCGTCAGTATTCAGTCTTGGACTTCAAGGGAGAGCACCACTGGAGGAGAAGAGCATAAGGAAAGAAATGAGTGAGTGAAATACAAACAAATTAAAATAAATAAATAAATAAATAAGAGAAAAAGGGTTCTTACCTTCGGTCAGAAGCATTGTCAGCATTAGGGGACCCCATTTAAAGATCCAAATGGTGAAAAACAACACATTGAAGAGGCGAAAAACATACTCGGAGCTCATGACGATCCAATGGCAGACGGCAACGATCAGAGCCTAGGAAAGCCTAAGGGTCTCGACCCTATTTCACGGCGTTAAAGGCGTTACATGCGAAAATGACCCCATATCCAAACTACCCACATCGAGACGAGTCGACCGGTGTAATTTAGTGGCCAACGGCCACTAGAGACGGTGGTATTGAGGCGGACATGTCGTTGGCGGTGAAGGTAAACGGCTGGTGAACGACCGGAATTCTAAAGAAAAGCAAGAGCTTCTCTCTCAAAAAAATTTAAAAGAAGGAAAATGAAAAAAAATATATGATATTTATAGAAAACTTTAGGGAAAATTATACTTAGGTCCCCTTATATTAGGCATTTTTTACAAAATGATCACCTAAAGGGACCATTTTTTTAATTTACCCTTTCTTATACATGTTATATATTTTTGGTTTAATTGTTGTTTTATCCCTGTACTTTCATACTTGTTTTACATTTTGGTCACGTGTAGTGACTGTTTAATTTTTTTTAAATGCTTTGAGACTGATTTAGTGATTTTTCCTTTTAAATTCTCAGCACTAACTTTTTGGTTTATTTTCTTCCAGTTCCCTTTACTTTATGCTCATTTTCCATTTTAGTCATTGGCCCTCTATTTATTTTATTTCTTTAATTTTATGCTATAATTTGTGATTGTTTTAATTTAATCATTTTTATTATTTTAGCTTATTCGAATTTATTCACTGGTTTTTATTTTTATTCATTTTATCCATTGTTTGGGTTTTGTTTATTATTTTATTATAATTTGGATATGATATCTTCAATTTATGCATTTTACTCACATATTAATTATGATTTGGCTATTGTTTTTATTCTTATTTCATTTTATTCCCTTTATGCTTATTATTTTATCTTTATAATTATTTTAATTTGAGTGTCTTACTTTAATAATTTCATTTTGGTCCTGAATGATTGAAGTTGGTTTATTTACAATTGTAGCGCCTAGTTTGTAAAATATTTGCAATGGGTGCCTTGATTTCTTGTTGGTTATATAGTTTAATCCCCAAAATCACTATCTTTATTATTTTGATCCATCATTTACATATTTTTTAATTTCCTATTAGAGTTAATATTTTTTTCAAATATTATTTCACTCGAGGAATTTATAGAAACACGCCTTAACTGGCAAGGAATGTATTTCGAAGAATTTTCTGAACAAAATAATATATTTTATATTCAAATGATTTTTTATATTTAATATATGTATTTTATCTAAAAATTTGGGCAATATTATTTTGTATGGGGAATCCATGGAAATGCCACTTAACTGACAATGAAGGTATTCCGAGAATTGTTCATGCAAAATAACAACCTTTATATTTTTTTCTAAAATGGATCATAATTTAAATGTGTATTGAATTTGCCAATTTAAAAGTTTAGATGACGTATAATCGCTTAGGTGCCGATTTCAGGCGTTGTGGGGGAACTAATCCTTTCCCACACGTAATCGACTCCCGAACCCTTTTTCAAAACGAATTTCTGGCTAAACGCAGATCATTTTTTTTATATTTTAAAATTATTTTAAAATTTATTTTTAGGCATTCAACCTACCTAACCTAAAGGTCGATGGTGACTCCAAATCTATTTATTTGTTCTTTATTTTAAAACTCAATCTTTTCTAAGATTAAGTTGGATCAATCCTTACCAAAGCCCCAAAAAACTTAAGGATTGTTCTGACATGACATGAGAGACTCTTGGGACGGATTGTAACTCGTCGGGAGTAGTTAATAGCCAGATTTCACTGTCGTCTGAGTCGACATAGGTGCAGCATTTTTATGCCCAACGCGAACAGCCAAACACGAATGCACTCGACACTGCAAGAGATATAAATTTATGGTGGGAAGAAAGAATCGGGTAATATATTTTAATTGATGTTTGTAATGAAAAAAGAGGGATAATTGATGGAAACCGAGAGAGAGAGAGAAAAGAAAGTACATAGAAACAAGGAAGAAACGTTTAACTTTGATGACGGTGGTGTTGGTTATATTCTTTCTATATAACTTAATCGGTGATATTTAACATACATATTAATTTTGTTAAAAATATTATAATTTATTAAGTTAGCTTGGTGGTTGGGTATTTAATATTAATGTAACATTATAAATTTTAAAATCTGATTAATTAATTGTGGTTTTTCTCAATTAATTATTATTATAATCAATATTAAATTATTTTTGAAGTTTAAAAGTGACGAGTTTGATCAGTCCCCCATAAACATACTTGCAACCAAACAACAAATAGCAAAACAACGACAACCAACAAACGAAATGAAAGAAAGGAAAGAGAAAAAAGGTGAAGATGTTGCCCATGACAGTGAGAGCATCATACTATGAAGGTGGCTTCATCCAACGACGGACGACAGAGATTAGGAGGTCAAAGCTTACGGCCACCGAAAAGTTCCTCTTTAAATTTATGGCGAACGGTGTCATATCTAAGGAATTGGACCTTAAATTCAGACTCAATCGACCGAAATGTGTGATCTTAATGTTTGGATTATGATGACAGTCACCGACGATCAATGACCAATCGACGAGATGAGCTTGATGATGTCAAGGATTCTAACAAGCATCCAGCTGAGAAGAATAGAGAATGGGTGAAACGAATTAAAAGCTTTGGAAATTTTGGGTTATATACCAAGTGAAACGACAACGTTTAGGGGAAAGGAACCCGTATGTTTTAAACTTATGGGGTACTTATGCCTTTGGTCCTTTAACCTTTTATTATGCATTTCAATTCAGCCCTTTAATATGCATTAGGCTTTTAATTGTGAATTTGTAGTCTCTAATAGTTCAATTCAGTACCTAAAGTCAGTAGTGGAATTATTAAATTAGCCTCGTAAGTCTCTAATACAATTAGGCCCCTCAATTATTCAATAAATATTAATAGGATATTTTTGTGTTGATGTGAATTATTCTGGAGCCATATTTGTGTTG